CAGATATTCTCTCATCCACTGCAGTGCCTTTCCTGTTATGCGTGCCTGATTCTCTAGCTCTTTCATTAACCTCTTGTGAGGAACTGTGTCGAAGGCCTTCTTGCATTCCAAGAAAATGCAGTCTATCCACCCCTCTCTCTCTCGTGCCTAACTTGTTACCTGCTCATAAAACTCCAGTATGTTTGTGACACAGATTTTTTCCTTCCATGAAACTGTGCTGGATGTCGTTTATAAGCTTGTATCTTTCTAGGAGATCCACCACTCTCCTCCTTATGATCTATCTATGACTTTCCATACCATACATGTCAGTGACACAGATTTGTAATTTAATGCCTGAGATTACATTTGCCATCTTCCATCTTCAAGCAGTTGCCCAGTTTCAATGTATGGTGTTGAAGATTTTTTGTTGGTGCACACACAACATCTGCTGCTCCCTCTCCAAGGACCTACAGAGAGATGTTTTCTGGTCCCACCGCCTTTGAGGTATAAAGTTCACATAGCAGCTCCTTCACCTCCTCCTCGGTTGTATATACTTCATCCAGCACTTGTTGGTATACCTCCCTATTCTGACTTCCTGGAGTCCTTTCTGTATTCACGTAAATACTTCTTTAAATCGCATGTTGAGCTTCTCACATACCTCTGGGTCGTTTCTTGTGAACTCCCCGCCTTCCTCCCCTAACCTGATTACCTGGTCTTTGACTGTTGTTTTCCTCCTGATGTAGCTATACAACAGCTTCAGGTCAAACTTGACTTTCGATGCTATGTCATTTTCATAGTGTCACTGAGCCTCCCTGCTCATCTGTGCACATTTATTTCTGGCTCTTTGGCTAATCGCTGGGTCCTTTGTCTTCTGTAATTTTTCCATTCTCTAGTGCACTTAGTGTTTGCCTCCCTACACTTTTGGTGACCAAGGACTCGTTCAGGTCTTCCCATTATTTTGTTTCCCTTCAGAGCAAACCTCCTATGGCTCCTTGCATTTTGTTGTCACATAGTCCTTCATTTCTTTTACTGGTTTTCCTGCCAATTCTCTCTCCCACTGAATGTTTTACAGGAAGTTCCTCATGCCTGTGTAGCCCCCCTTTTGTAGTTTGGTTTTCCCATCTATTCCTGTTATCCTCTCCACTTGTAGCTTACTATGTAATCAAAGTACAGAACCACATGATCACTAGCTCCAAGGGGCTTTTCGTACGTGATATCCTCGATGTCCAAACTACTCAAGGTGAATACTAGGTTCAGTCTTGCTGGATCATCCTCACCTCACTCTCTGGTAGTGTCTCTAATATATTAATGCATGAGGTTTTCCAATACCACATCCATGATCTTGGCTCTCCATGTTTTGGGAGCCCCATGGGGCTCCAGGTTTCTCCATTCAATCTCCTTGCAATTGAAATCAACCATAACTAGTAACTTTACTCTCTCTTCATGTGAGCTCTACTGGCCACCTTAGCTCTGTTGCTCTCGTCATATTCTTCTCTTGGCCTTCTGCAGTTCTGTGGCAATTACCACCTTCTGGCCCTCAGATTGGATTGCTCTTACTATGTAGTCAGTTTCACCCATTCCATCCATTCCTTCCATTTCCTCAAATCCCCACCAGTTTTTAATGAGCAGGGCAACTCCTCCTCCCCCTCTGCTCCCTCTATCTTTCCTGAGGATTTAATATCTGGGAGGAAAGATTGCATCTGTTATCCTGGTGAGTTTCGTTTCTGTGAGTGCTATTATGTCTGGGGATATCTCCTTGATTTCTTTATGCCACTCCTCACATTTATTTGTTTTTCCATCTGCATTTATGCACCAAACCTTCAACTTGTTTTCTAAAACTGTGGTCCAGGGGGTGCATTGGGGTTGAGGAAGCAGGAGACCTGATGAGGAGCTATGGCTGGTTGCTGTAAAGGTGGAATTTGTAATGAGGTGGATGGGGGCACTGGGTATGGCATGTGTGTTTTGGGTTAGAACGTTTGGTTGCATTGGGGTTGACCTGGTTGGGGGGCATCTGTAGGTGGTTGTGAAGGGAGGTTGTATTTGATCTTCCTTCTGAGTCTGGGTTCTCCTGTCCATCTCCATCTTCACCTCTCTTTCCTCCTTTCACTTTTGTACTCTCTCTTTCAGTTTCTGCCTTTCTTCTTGTGTTCTGTAGTGCTCAAGATACGCCCACCACAATGCAGACATGTACCTTATTCGTGATTTTTCCTGCAGGATCCTGTTTTGAGCCGATTCTTCCTTGAAAATCACTTTGACTGGCCGGTTTCGTCCTCTTGCAAATCCCCCTATTCTCAGAAAATTTGCCAGCTGGGTCATATCATCATCTCCTATTGCTTTCATGATGCTTTCAATCACTTTTTTCTTCCCTTGTCTTCTTGCTTCGTAAGTTTCCCCTTCAACTTCCTGGAGCCCATAAACAAAGATTGATCTCTCCCTTTCATTTTCCCACTGCATGTCCCTATGTATCCCCTGATTCGATTTAGTTGCCTCCATTGCAGCTTTCCTTTTTTAATTCTCTTCACTATCTGTTGTCCCTGGGCCCAATGATCAGTCATTTTCCCTTCTCAACTTTCCCTGGGCACTGCTGTGGTCTGTTAGGGCCTCTACATATATCTTAGCTCTTTCATTTTCTACAGTCCCCTCGATTGTTCCTTATATGATCCTCTTTTTTTCCCAGGTTCTACAATAGTCTGATAGGACCTCTGCATACAGTTTCAGTCCTTCATTCCCTACATCCCTTTGTTTGTGACTAAGGTAGCAGTTTCTGATGTCATGCCCACATTGCTCTTTAGGCATTTCAGATTTTTCAATTTCTCTTCTAAACTCTATATCTTAGCCTCTGCTGCTGTGACTTGCATCTCCCACTTCCTGCTCTCTGCAGCATCCCCTTCATCCATTTTCATACTAAACTCTTCTAGCTTCCTTCCCCATTCATGTTCCCTTTTCATGAGCTCTGCTACCCAATCTTCATTCCCAGACTCATCCTCCAGTCCCCTGGTTTTCTGTCCTCCTCTCTGGCAACCCATTTTTTTATGGTTGCACAGAATGAAATTTTACACCTTTTTTTGAGTGTAGTATTTTATTCTCTCCTTTCCGTCTTTTCTTTAACTTCTTGATGCATGAAAAATGTGATCATTTCTTTGAGGATTGTAGATGACTACTTATTTGCTGTTCCAACCTAATCAGACTATTTGGTTTTTAATTAAACTTTCCAGTGCAGTGATTTTCCCCCTTTTCATAGTCATTATCTTTAATAACTTGCTATGGGCATTGATTTCTTGCTTGAAATGAACAAAGAGAGAGACTAATTTGCATTGAAAGAACATTTCGTCTGTGAATCAGGCTTCCTGTTATTACAAAACAATTACGTTGAATGAGGTTAGGTTTGAATTAATATGCAGTCGGCTAGGTGAGTTGTGAGAGCAGGGCGTAGACAGCCAGCAGTGGAGCATTGCTGGTGGCTTACAAGACACTATCTACATCTAAAGAACATTAAGAAAGAAGGAACACTGCAGCAGGCCTACTGGCCCATGTGAGGCATGTCCAATTCTCCTACCAGCTTAAGTCAATTTGACCGGACCTGACCTAGTCAGGTCACGTCACATTCACTTAAGGAAGGAACACAGCATCTGACCTGGTAGCACAAGCTTGTCAGGTCCAACTCACACCCACCCACACTCACCCACCCATGTATTTATCTAACCTATTTTTAAAACTACACAACGTTTTAGCTTCTATGACGGTACTTGGGAGTTTGTTCCACTCATCCACAACTCTATTACCAAACCAGTGCTTTATTATTTCCTTCCTGAATCTGAATTTTTCCAACTTAAAGTCATTGCTGCGAGTCCTGGCTAGGCTAGATATTTTTAAGACACTATTTACATCACTTTTATTTATTCATGTTTCCCATTTATACACCTTAGTCATATCGCCCCTAATTCTATGCCTTTCCAGAGAGTGCAAATTCAGGGCCCTCAGTCTATCCTCACAAGGAAGATTTCTGAAACATGGGATCAACTCTGTCATCCTCCTTCGTACGTTTTCCAGTGCATTTATATCTATTCTGTAATACGGTGACCAGAACTGTGCAACAAAATCTAAATGAGGCCTAACCAAACATATGTAGAGTTGAAGAACAACCTGAGGACTTCTATTATTTATACTTCTTGATATGAAGCCAAGTAGCTTTTGTAGCAGAAGAGTTAACTTGAAGGTTGTTGGCTGTGTGTGTCGATCAGCACATCTTCCTGGCATTTTCGATATCAGCGTCTTTCCTGGATATTAGACTTTCGCTTTTGTCTTTGTTTATAACATAGGCATTACTTATATTCTGCGCTCTACGGGTACAAGTCTATTCGCCTCGTAGATAAATGGTTCAAAGAACCGACAAGTCTCCCCATGTCTCCCTATATATTCTCTTCTTTATACTGTTTTATTTTTCTCTTCACGTCCCACTGATGCGGAAGGGGCAGTGTTTCTAGTGATGAACTCCTGAATTTAAAATTTGGAGCTGTGCTTCCCTTCTCAGAATCAAATTGGATTCCCAACCAGTACCCAAGAGTTCTAAGACCTTCAATGGTCTATCACTTCCTGTGTTTATGATTTTAAGAAGCTAGCAAGAGCATATTTCCTAAACCTAAGCCACATTAGTGGGTGAGTTACTAATTTTATTATATATGCGTGAATTATATCATAAGCATTTCCATATTTCTTTTACTGCATCAATGGAAATTTGGATTTAACAGGAGAAACCACAGTAATATTTTCTCAAGATGGAAATCTATGGGGAAGCGTTGAACTTGCACTGATTGTCCAGCGCCATGGAAACGAGAGGTGATCAGGATTTATTAATTGGATTTAGTTTAACTGCAATTGCTTGGATCAAGAACCGTTCACTAGCATGAAGTTTAGGCATAAATTTCACCTGAAAACACTTCTCTTTGAAACACACATATCCTTAGCCGATGGAATTTTTGCGCTTTATTACGTGCTTTAGTTATAGTAAAACCACGGCTAACCTTATTTCTCTCGTGCCTGAGGGAGAGACCATCAATCACTGCGTCTCCTTCTGTAGGTATTTCATCTCCCGTTAGCATCTTGAAAGTGGTAGTCTTGCCTGCACCGTTGACGCCCAGGAGACCAAGACACTCGCCGCGCCCCACCCTGAAGCTGATGTTGTCTACAGCTCGTGTCAAGCAGCCACTGTATTGCTTCGATAAATTACAGGCTATGAGTGTAGTGTCCTGGGAGATTTCTGAAGAGAAACATAAATCGAAGGAAAATCAGTATTCAGAGCATTAATATAGTATAGAAGCGAATTTGTGGTGTGCTGCTACACTTACACCTAAGAGATATACAATATATTTTTATACTTGTGCATGTTGAGTGGCTAAAAGTTTATAATTTCTTGGTTCAATATGTGAATAATTGTGTATTCATTGTTTGCTTTATGTTTCACTAACATAATTTACCTAGCGGCTAGTTTCTTGTACAACCCATATTGAAAGTTAAGACACATGTGCAACATCTCATACGGTTGGGAGCATGAAACAAAGGGATAGACAACATAGGGATAGACATAACATAAGAGCCTAACACCAGAAGGGGCTTATTTTCAGTTTTTATTTCATCTTTTAGAAGTAAACTTAGGATATTTGCTTTTTGTCAATAAGATACATGTTCATATCACATAGGTTATTATAAAGTCTATATTTATATTCCTCAGTAGGTGGATAATCAATCACGAAGTGTTTAAAAAGTGACCATAACGTTAACCAAATAATTAACTTTAGTCTGATAAATGTCATGGGGCTCTGGTGGCCTGGTGGTTAACGCTCTCGCTTCACACGGTGAGGGCCTGGGTTCGATTCCCAGCCAGAGTAGAAACATTGGACTTGTTTCTTTCCACCTGTTGTCTATGTTCCCCATCAGTAAAATGGGTACCTGGGTGTTAGTCGACTGGTGTGGGTCGCATCCTGGGACACTGACCTAAGGAGGCCTGGTCACAGACCGGGCCGCGGGGGCGTTGACCCCCGGAACTCTCTCCAGATAAACTCTCTCCAGATAAACAACATTAAATGCGAAAGCGCTTACCCATATCTTGTAAAGGATAGAGAACAGTGTGTAGAAACTAGAATCAGGAACATGATAGGTCATAAACACATGTACAATACCTGGTTTTCTAGCCAGGATGGGTCTTAATTCATATTAGAGTTTACATTCTCGAGAGAGTCAAACATGCAGCAATCAGTTCCTCAGACGTGATAAGAACATAAGAAAGGAGGAACCCTGCAGCAGGCCTGTTGGCCCATACTAGGCAGGTCCTTTACAGTCCTTCCCACTAACAAAATATTTGCCCTACCCAATTTTCAATTCCACATAAGAAATAAGTTTTGATGATTCTATTTATTCATTACGCAAGTCTCACTTTACATCAGTGATGTAAATGTTCAAATTTTTCCCTTTTGCCCGATTTATGTGAAACCCGAAAAAGTTTAAAATATATTTATTATATATATATATAAATATATATAAATATAAATATAAAATATATATAATATATAATATAAATAATATATAATATATATAAAGGGAAATACCCCTCTATACTGGAATTGGGGACCCTCTTCCTCAGAAAAACAATAACGTACCTCAGGGAAAAACCAAAAGGGGGCCTTTTTGCTATATATCCCTATATATAATAAAAAAATATAAATATATTAAATATTTAAATATATATATATATAATATATAATATATATAATAATATTTTAAAAAATAAAATTTTAAAATATAAAGGTTTGTGCCGAATTTTGTAAAAATGGTCAATTTGCAAAACTGTTTTTAAAAATTTAAGGTTTTCCTTTTTAAAATTTTTCCCTTTACGTTTCAGGAAAAATTTTTTTTCATGAAAGTTTAATTTAAAAAATTTTTAAATTTTTCACCCCAAAAAAACTTAGAAAACTTTTTTTTTTCCCCAAAATTTAAATTTTAAAAATAAATTTTTTTTTAGCTAAACCAACTAAATTATTTACGCACGGTTTTTCAAAAATTTAAAACTAAACAAAAAACAGTGAAAATATTTTTTTCGTAGGTTTTAAATGATTTTGGGGGAAATTATTTCATATACAAATTTTCACTTTTCCTATATGGGAAGATTAACGTTGCTATTTAAGCCAAGATCGCAAGTTCTACCTATTAGGCACGACATATATATATATAATATATATATATATATATATATATATATATATATATATATATATATATAATATATATATATATATGTCGTGCCGAATATGTAAAACTGGTCAGTTAGCAAGAACTCATTTAAAATTAAGTCCTTTCTAAAATTTTCTCTTATGCGTTTAAAGATATATTTTTTTCATTAATGTTATTGTAATAAATTTTAATTTTGCACCAAAAGAATCTTAGAAAACTTACCTAACCTTATTATAACAAGAACAATTTATTTTAGCCTAACCCAACTATATATATTTTAGATTTGCTTACAGTAATTCAATACTAAACAAACACAGTGAAATATATTTTTTTCGTTAGGTTCAGAATGATTTTGGCGAAATTTTTGCATACACAAATTTTCGCTTGTCCTATATGGCAAGATGAGCGTTGCTATTTAAGCCAAGATCGCAAGTTCTGCCTATTCGGCACGACACACACCACACACACACACACACATATATATATATATATATATATATAATATATATATATATATATATATATATATATATATATATATATATATATCTTTCTTTCATTCAACACACCGGCTGTATCCCACCGAGGCGGGGTGGCCCAAAAGGAAAAACGAAAGTTTCTCCTTTTGCATTTAGTAATATATACAGGAGAAGAGGTTACTAGCCCCTTGCTCCCGGCATTTTAGTCGCCTCTTACAACACGCATGGCTTACGGAGGAAGAATTCTGTTCCATTTCCCCATGGAGGTAAGAGGAAATAAACAAGAACAAGAACTAGAAAGAAAATAGAAGAAAACCCAAAGGGGTGTGTGTATATATATGCTTGTAAAATGTATGTGTAGTGTGACCTAAGTGTAAGTAGAAGTAGCAAGACATACCTGAAATCTTGCATGTTCATGAGACAGAAAAAAAAGACACCAGCAATTCTACCATCATGTAAAACATTTACAGCTTCAGTTTTTACATTCACTTGGCAGGACGGTAGTACCTCCCTGGGCGTTGCTGTCTACCAACCTACTACCTAGAATATATATATAATATAAATATATATATATATATATATATATATATATATATATATATATATAAATATATATATATAGGTAGAAGGTTGGTAGACAGCAACCACGCATGGAGGTACTACCGTCCTGCAAGGTGACTGTCACACAGAAACCTGTAACTGTTTTACATGATGGTAGGATTGCTGGTGTCTTTTTTCTGTCTCATAAACACATTCATAAACTTCTACTTACAGTTAGGTTACACTACACAGGCTAGCACATGCGTATATATACATACACACATCTAGGTTTTTCTTCTTTTTTCTAAATAGCTCTTGTTCTTCTTTATTTCCCTTGTTGTCCATGGGGAAGTGGAAAGGAATCTTTCCTTCATAAGCTGTGTGTGTCGTATGAGGCGACTAAAATGCCGGAAGCAACGGGCTAGTAACCCCTTCTCCTGTAGACATTTACTAAATGAGAGAAGAAGAAAAACTTTATAAAACTGGGATTCTTGAATGTGCGTGGATGTAGTGCGGATGACAAGAAAGATGATTGCTGATGCTATGAATGAAAAGAAGTTGGATGTCCTGGCCCTAAGCGAAACAAAGCTGAAGGGGTAGGGGATTTTTGGAAGTGTGAAATAAATGGGATTAAGTCAGGAGTATCTGAGAGAATTAGATCTAAGGAAGGGGTAGCAATAATGTTGAAGCATCAGTTATAGAAGAAGAGGGAATATAAATATGTAAATTCAAGGATTATGTGGATTAAAATAAGGGTTGAATGTGAAAAGTGGGTCATAATAAGCGTGTATGCACCTGGAGAAAAGAGAAGTGTAGAGAGAGTGAGAGATTTTGCGAGATGTTAAGTGAATGTATAGGAACCTTTGAACCAAGTGAGAGAGTAATTGTGGTAAAGGGTGTGATAAAAGAGAAAAAGTTACCTTATGAGAGGTTTTTACAAAGCAGAAGTGTTATAAGAAGAGTAGAGTATATGGAGAGTAAAAGAAAAGGTAAAGAGAGTGGTGAGGAGTGCAAAAGGAGAGCAGATGATAGAGTGGGAGAGGCACTGTCAAGAAATTTTGAAGAAAACAAGAAAAAAAATGGAGTGAGATAAACAAGTTAAGAAAGCCTAGGGAATGAATAGATTTGTCAGTTAAAAACAGAATAGGGGAGTTAATAGATGGGGAGATGGAGGTATTGGGTAGATAGCGGGAATATTTTGAGGAACTTTTAAATGTCGATGAAGAAAGGGAGGCGGTAATTTCATGCACTGACCAGGGAGGTATACCATCTTTTAGGAGTGAAGAAGAGCAGAATGTGAGTGTGGTGGAGGTACGTGAGGCATTACGTAGAATGAAAGGGGTAAAGCAGCTGGAACTGACCGGATCATGACAGAAATGTTAAAAGCAGGAGGGGATATACTGTTGGAATGGTTGGTATTTTTGTTTAATAAATGTATGGAAGAGGGTAAGGTACATAGGGATTGGCAGAGAGCATGTATAGTTCCTTTATATAAAGAGAAAGGGGACAAAAGAGATTGTAAAAATTATTTGGGAATAAGATTACTGAGTATACAGGAAAAGTGTACGGAAGGGTTTTATTGAACGAATTAGAGGCAAGACAGAGAGTAGGATTGCGGATGAGCAAGGAGGCTTTAGAGTGGGTAGAGGATGTGTAGATCAAGTGTTTACATTGAAGCATATATGTGAGCAGTATTTAGACAAAGGAAGGGAAGTTTTCATTGCATTTATGAATTTAGAAAAGACATATGATAGAGTGGATAGGGGAGCAATATGGGAGATGTTGCAAGTATGTGGAATAGGTAGTAAGTTACTAAATGCTGCAAAGAGGTTTTATGAGGATAGTGAGGTTCAGGTTAAGGAGTGTAGAAGAGAGGGAGATTACTTCCCGGTAAAAGTAGGTCTTAGACAGGGATGTGTAATGTCACCATGGTTGTTTAATATATTTATAGATGGGGTTGTAAAAGAAGTAAATGCTAGGGTGTTTGGGAGAGGGGTGGGATTAAATTATGGGGAATCAAATACATAATGGGAGTTGACACAGTTACTTTTTGCTGATGATACTGTGTTTACCTGGAGTTTACCTGGAGAGAGTTTCGGGGGTCAACGCCCCCGCGGCCCGGTCTGTGACCAGGCCTCCTGTGTTATGGATGATTCTAAAGAAAAGTTGCAATGGTTGATGGACAAGTTTGGGAGGGTGTGTAAAGGTAGACAGTTGAAAGTGAACATAGATAAGAGTAAGGTGATGAGGGTATCAAATTATTTAGATAAAGAAAAATTGGATATCACATTGTAGAGAAGGAGTATGGAAGAAGTGAATGTTTTCTTATATTTGGGAGTTGATATGTCATGGGTTTTTGAAGAATGAGGTTAACCATACAACTGATGAGGGAAAAAAGGTGAGTGGCACGTTGAAATATATGTGGAGAAAAAAAACGTTATCAATGGAGGCAAAGAAGGGAATGTATGAAAGTATAGTGGTACTAACGCTCTTACATGGGTGTGAAGATTGGGTTGTAAATGCTGCAGCGAGGAGGCAGTTGGAGGCAGTGGACATGTCCTTTCTAAGGCCAATGTGTGGTGTAAATATTATACAGAGAATTCGAAGGGTGGAAATTAGGAGAAGGTGTGGAGTTAATAAAAGTATTAGTCAGAGGACTGAAGAGGGGTTGTTGAGGTGATTTAGTCATTTAGAGAGAATGGATCAAAGTACAATGACATGGAAAGCGTATAAATCTGTAGGGGAAGGAAGGCGGGGGAGGGGCCTGGACTTCCAGCAAGCGTGCATGTACGTGTTAGATAGGAGTGAATGGAGATGAATGGTTTTTGGGACCTGACGAGCTCTTGGAGTGTGAGAAGGGTAATATTTAGTGAAGGGATTCAGGGAAACCAGTTATTTTTGTATAGCCGGACTTGAGTAATGGAAATGGGAAGTACAATGCCTGCGCTTTAAAGGAGTTTGGAGGGATGTGTAATATATCTTTATATATGCTTCTAAACTGTTTTATCTGGGCGTCTCTGCAAAAACAGTGATTATGTATGAGTGAGGTGAAGGTCTTGAACAATGATGAAAGTATTTTCGTTTTGGGGATTATCTTTCTTTTTGGGTTACCCTGCTTAAGTGGGAACGGCCGACTTGTTGAATATATATATATATAATATATATATATATATATATATATATATATATATATATATATATATATATATATATGAAAAACAGCCACTGTGAAAGAATAGAGAAATTCCAAGCGCTTTCGTGACTACTCACATTATCAAGGAACAATAAAAGTAATGCATCAAAGGAAGGTATATAAAGGGTCTAGACCACACCTCACTATCACATCCCACAACAAAGCAACATCTCACGCGCGACCCATAAGAAAAAGAACACTGCAGCAGGCCCTCTGGCCAAACTAGACAGGTCCTTCACACAACCCAACTATTCTACCCAAGAATTAAGAATTTTAAAATTTATTATTTGTCCAGTGTATTATTAAATTCTTCCCAAATTCTATTAATTATAAATGGATCTAATTTATATAAACCAAAGGAAATATTCATATTGTCAAAACTGCTTTTTATGAAACAAGATTCAATTATATTCCTGTCGACCATGGGCTTGCTTGATACAACTTTCTCAACTTTTTGAAAATCAATTGGATGGTTAAAATCTCTTACATGAATAAATAGAGCATTGGAATCTTGTCCAATTCTAATACTATATTTATGTTGTTTTAATCTTAGTTCGAGACTTACCAGTTTGACCGTAATAACCTTTATCGTAAATTTTACAAGTAATCTTATAGACACATCCGTCAGCATTTTGGGGGGAATTATTTATCAAAACTTTTTTTTACTGTATCAAGATTTTTAAATACAACTTTAATATTAAAAGTCTTAAGAAGAGAAGGCATATCAACAAAGTTTTCATGGTAAGGGAGAACCAACATATTTTCAACTACGTGTAGCGATTAACTACATGTAGCGATTAACTACGTGTAACTACACGTAGTTAATCGCTCAGACTTTACCTGTCATCGTATGGGCAGTTGCTCCAGCTGGGGTCATAAGTGAGGCCACTAAGTCAGCTTCAGCAGTGACATCTTCGTCAACAACCTGAGACACTCCCGTAGTAACCAGCTGGAGTCTGGACTGAAAAGTCACACTGCGCCAAACCCGCCTGAGTGGGAAAATGCCCTCTAATCATAATTATTATTAAAACTTTATTGAATATTTAGTGAAAGGCATGTAATTAAATAATTATAAATAAATAAACTAAAGATTGAAGTTGGTACCATTTTTTAAATAAACATTGTATATAAATTAATATTTACACATACAGCATACACATCGAAAGATATTTATATCTCACGTTTCAGTGTGTACATTGGACTTGTTTTTATTAATTTATGTACAGTTGTTACTTTCTGAGAATCTTTCAGCCAAAATATAAGATATATACATGGGAGGTGACTGTCACTACATATACACCTGGTCACAGACCGGCCGTGGGGGCGTTGACCCCCGAATCCCTCTCCAGGTATACTTCAGGTATACTCAAGGTATACTGGTTGTAAACATTCTGCCTTAATGACCCTTTCAGTGTACGACGGACTTAAAGTCCAATATACATCACACGTGTCTCTTAGTTTCTATGCACTGAGAGTTTACTGTAACCCTCAGTTTGTAGATTAAAGTATTGTTGAAATATTGTAAAAAAAGATTCGTGCAGCCCAAAGATTTTCAACCCATTTATCCAGTCATCTCAGTACATATTCACTGAGAGACAATCCAAATTTTTAGATTTAAAGTATTCTTGACTAGGAGTTAGCAGGTTACATGTAGCCGTAATGGCCCTCGGGTAGTCGATACTGAAACAATCATGTCTGTGAGGAGACATGAAATACATATTACTAGAGACGTGGATCACTCTACATATAGAGGCTGAGAGGTTACTTGATTCCCTATTTCAGAAGTTAAAAGAAAAGCATATACAATGGATACGAGAAATGCTTTCCATTAGGCCATAATTTAAGAATTTTGTCTACACAATAAATTAAGATACTCGTACACTCACTGGAACATTACACCTCCACCAGATTCTAAAATGATGATAATAGCTATGAAAATGAGGCCATTAGCGAAAAGAGTCAGCAGGTCTGGAGCCAAGCCTGGAGCGATGAAGCGGAAGTAGGACCACGTCTCAAAACACACCTGATTTCCCTCGTGGCTGCACATTGGCGGGTCGTTAAAATCTGTGGGAATATGGAGACAACTGTGAAAAGTATCATCAGAAGCTACGGATTTCAAGTGAAGATTTTTTCCTAGGCAAATAAAAGCACACTATATCATCAAGCCAGAAGAGATGACGTTAAAAAACTTTAAGTTTGCACAAAGTTGTATTATGTTAGACCAAAAAGAGATGTCAAAATTCTAGAAGATCTGTTATCCAAACCTTTAGAATAAGGTTTTACAACAAGGATTACTTATAAAATTTACAATCATGACGCCAGATTATTGTGTTTAGAAATGGATTCATGTTTAAATTAGATAAATAATGATAGTGGTGCAAAATTGCAGAAAATGCGCATACAAATCTTTATATACCAAATTACGTAGGAAAATTAAAAACATTACCGAGAGTGAAAATTTAACACTAAGTTCAAAGAAATCATTAGATTATTCACAATTTCTATAAGTCATAATACTTTCTATAGATATAAAATAATTTCAATTAATTTTAGTGTAATTTACAAGGTCTTAAATTAAATATAAGTTATATCCTTATAATTTAAATTTTGAGTTGTGTATCTATTAAGGATAAAGTTGACCGTGAATGTTGAGTAACACTAACGCAAACATCCAATAAAATAATAAAACCCATAATAACAACAACAACAACAACAAACAATAATAAATAATAATAATAATATAAATAATAATAAAATAATAATAATAATAAAAATAATAATAATAATAATAACAATAATAAAATTTAAAAATAATAATAATAATAATAATAATAATAATAAAATATAATAATAAAAAATAATAATAATAACAACAATAATAATAAAAAAATAATAATAAATAATAATAATAATAATAATAAAAAAATTAACAATAATAATAATAATAATAATAATAATAATAATAATAATAATAATAATAATAATAATAATAATAATAGTTAAAGGGAAATTTTAAATTCAACATTAAGAATTTTAAAAAATAACATTATATCAAAGAAACACGTAGAGCAGTAGTACATGGTAGTAAAAACAAGGTAATACACCCCAGGATATATCAAGTAATACACACAAAGGGGTTTTTCAAGGTAATACACACAGGGGTAATATCAAGGTAATACACACAGGTATACAAAGGTAAAAACACACGGAGTATACAAGGTAATACACACAGGAGTATATCAAGGTAATACACACAGGAGTATATCAAGGTAATACACACAGGAGCATATCAAGGTAATACACACAGGAGTATATCAAGGTAATACACACAGGATATATCAAGGTAATACACACAGGAGTAATCAAGGTAAACACACAGGGGTATATCAAGGTAAACACACAGGAACAAATCAAGGTAATACACACAGGAGTAATCAAGGTAATACCACAGAGTAATCAAGGTAATACACACAAAGGGGTATATCAAGGTAATACACACAGGAGGTATATCAAGGTAATACACACAGGAGTATATCAAGGTAATACACACAGGAGTATATCAAGGGAATACACACAGGATATATCAAGGTAATACACACAGGAGTATAAACAAGGTAATACACACAGGAGCATATCCAAGGTAAAAACACACAAAGGGGTATATCAAGGTAATACACACAGGAGTATATCAAGGTAAAAACACACAGGAATATATCAAGGTAATACACCACAGGAGTATATCAAGGTAATACACACAGGAACATATCAAGGTAATACACACCCGGAGTATATCAAGGTAATACACACAGGAGTATATCAAGGTAATAAAACACAGGTATATATCAAGGTAATACACACAGGAGTAATATCAAGGTAAAACACACAGGAGATATCAAGGTAATACACACCCGGGAAAATATCAAGGTAAAACACACAGGAGTATGTCAGGTAATACACACAGGAGTACATCAAAGGGAATACACCCCAGGAACCCTATCAAGGTAATACACACAGGAAGATATCAAGGTAATACACACAGGATTATATCAAGGGGAATACACACAAAGGGTTTTAACAAGGTAAACACAAGGAGTATACAAGGTAAACACACAGGATTATCAAGTATTTAACACAGGAAATCTGGTAATACACACAGGATTATATCAAGGTTAAACACACACAGGAGTATACAAGGTAATACACACAGGAAATATATCAGGGTAATACACACAGGGATATATCAAGGTAATACACACAGGAACATATCAAGGTAATACACACCAGGAGTATATCAAGTAATAACACACAGGATTATATCAAGGGAATACACACAGGAATTTTAACAAGGTAAACACACAGAGTATATCAAGTAATACACACAGGATATATCAAGGGTAATACACACAGGAGTATATCAAGGTAATACAAAACAGGATTATACAAGGTAATACACACAGGAGTATATCAAGGTAAACACACAGGAACATATCAAGGGAATACACACAGGATTATATCAAAAGGGAATAAAAACACAGAGTATATCAAGGTAATACACACAGAACATATCAAGGTAATACACACAGGATATATCAAGGTAACACACAGGAGTATATCAAGGTAATACACACAGGAACATATCAAGGTAATTTCACACAGGAGTTTATCAAGGTAATACACACAGGATTATATCAAGGTAATACACACAGAATAACAAGGTAATACACACAGGAGTATATCAAGGTAATACACACAGGAGTATAACCAGTAATACACACAGGATTATATCAAGGTAATACACACAGAGTATAAACAAGGTAATGCACACAGAACATATCAGGTAATACACCAGGAGCAATCAAGGTATACACACAGGAGCATATCAAGGTAATACACACAGAAGCATATCAAGGTAATACACACCGGAGTATATCAAGGTAATACACACATGAGCATATCAAGGTAATACACACAGAAGCATATCAAGGTAATACACACAGAGTATATCAAGGTAATACACACAGGACATATCAAGGTAATACACACAGAAGCATATCAAGGTAATACACACAGGAGTATATCAAGGGAATACACACAGGAGCATATCAAGGTAATACACACAGAAGCATATCAAGGTAATACACACAGGAGTATATCAAGGTAATACACACAGGAGCATATCAAGGTAATACACACAGAAGCATATCAAGGTAATACACACAGGAGTATATCAAGGTAATACACACAGGAGCATATCAAGGTAATACACACAGAAGCATATCAAGGTAATACACACAGGAGCATATCAAGGTAATACACAAAAGGAGCAAATCAAGGTAATACACACAGGAGTATATCAAGGTAATGCAAGAAGAAAAAATAATTATCTGAGGCTGGAGGAGACAATCTTGTTAAAAAAGACTTAGTTATATTATTTTCCTTTGTGATTAACAATAATAAAAAATACGTTTATGTTTTTGAAACTGGGGGGTACGGTAACTAGGATAAATTTGAGCAACATTGCGAGGTACAGGTTGCTAATGACAGTAGTAGATGAATAACAAAAAAAAACAATACCGTGACGGAACAAGCACACAGAACCCTCACATAGGAGAGAGAAAGAACTTATGACGACGTTTCGGTCCGATTTGGACTTTGTAAATGGTCCAGGTCGGACGAAAAAATCGTCGCTAAACCTCCTCTCCTTTTATGTTCGGGTTATTTGTAAAATAGTAGTTGAACACAGTTCCAGCATAATTTCAGAAACATTCGTAGCATAGCTTTAGCGGCTAATAATTCCCATGACGGGCGGAGAGGAAAATACAAGTGTGTAGGAGGTGCACCTTTGCCATTTTTTTTTTTTTTTTGGTAGTAAGATATTTTGATTTCCGATGAATCACAATAAATATATTTAAGTTTTCCTCTTCTTAATATCTTCAACATTTCATGACTAACACATCTTCCATCCGGGATGGTAATTATTCAATTTCATTTGTGTATAGACAAACTTGTCAGTGCTTTAAATATTCTTTTGAAATTGTTGTAGTCTTTGCGATTACTGGAAGTTATCTCTTCTGATTGGCTTTATATTTTCAGCTCTGGTGTGTTTTCTAGAAACTAAGGATCTCACTATTCCAAATTTTCTAGAAACTAAGGATCTCACTATTCCAAACTTTCTAGAAATTAAGGATCTCACTATTCCGAACTTTCTAGAAACTAAGGATCTCACTATTCCAAACTTTCTAGAAACTAAGGATCTCACTATTCCAAACTTTCTAGAAATTAAGGATCTCACTATTCCAAACTTTCTAGAAACTAAGGAATGCACTATTCCAAATTTTCTAGAAACTAAGGATCTCACTATTCCAAATTTTCTAGAAACTAAGGATCTCACTATTCCAAATTTTCTAGAAACTAAGTATTCCACTATTCCAAATTTTCTAGAAACTAAGGATCTCACTATTCCAAATTTTCTAGAAACTAAGGATTCCACTATTCCAAATTTTCTAGAAAATAAGGATCGCACTATCCAATTTTTCTAGAAACTAAGGATCACACTATTCCAAATTTGCCAATTTCGGTAAATAAATTGATTTTGATTGCCATTCAATAACTAAATAAGTGAATATTTAACTTAAATAACTTAAATAACTTAAATAAGTAAATATTTTATATCTTATTGAAATTGCTATAAAAATTTTGGAATCGTTTGGTTCAGTGCCATTATTAGAGAATTGCTTGTGTGATAGGCTTCAAACTTTTAGTGTTGACGGGCTTAATTGAAAAAAAAAAACTTGACTTTCACTTTTGAGTTTACTAAATTTTAGATTAGATTTTATTAAATAAATGGTTTATATGTGACAACTAGAGAATGGCTCTTCTGGTCCTCCTCAACCTCTTATATCTTGGCGTTTATCAATCAGAAGTTTTTAATTTGGGCGTTTTACTTTCCAATTTGCCAATTGCATAATCTTTTTTTTATCAAATTGGACTTTCGAAAAAAGCACAAGAGTTACTGTTTTTTTCTTAGAAGATGGCAGAGGATTTTAAATAGAATAAAATTGAAAAAAAAAGAAAATCGAGAACTATTGAAAACTAGTTTTTTTTTAGTTTAAATTGTTAGTTACTGTGATATCATCGTCCATTTACATTCAAGGCTTTTCTTAGTAACTTCACAAAGCCTTATCTTGTCTATCCAAAATTTTCAACCCTAGTGAGTTATTCTTAGACAACACTACAATACTTCCTGAAACAATACTTCCTGAACAATACTTCCTGAAAGGGAGACCCTTGATGCTGGTGAAGGTATCAGGGTCTAAGGAATCTGGTTTATCCTCCAGGCGCTTGAACCTTATCTAAATGTTTTTAATTCCACAGGAGCTGTATGACCAACGGTTTTAGATTATTCGCTGATTAAAATAAAAACAAATGAAAACAGCATCAAAGTTTAACGGGTGATATATGGTCTTAAATGGTTGAAACATTTCTTAATTTGAGGCTGTGAAGGACTAGATTTTATTGGATTGAATGCAATAATTAGAGAATAGTTTTTCTGATCAGTTTCAAACTTTTAGTGCTGTTGTTGTCCTCATGGGAACTACCTCATGATTTTAGGTTGTATAAATTTTAAGGAGAGTATTTTATTAATCAATTTTATTTGTTGAAACACTGAAGAATCTCTCATCCGATCAGAAATAAGTAACAGTATTTGACTTTATTAGGCTAATTGGGTGTCTAGTGACTCGGCTGGCAGCGCATTTAGTTCACAAAGTGAGTGTCCGTGGTTCGATCCCCGGCACGGGTGGAAACGCTTGGCATGTTTCATTACGCCCAAGCTCACCTAGCAGTAAGCAGATACCTGAGTGCTAGTTGTCTGTTGTGGGGTGGCATCCTGGGGGTGGTAGTATACCTCATATAGGGCTGGACTTTGTAATGAGCTGACGAAGGATAACAGCTCTTAGTCTCTAATAACCTGTGTACAAAAACATCCTACATGATGTACTTTCCTGTACCTATAACATTTACGTTCTCTTATAAATAATTAGTACACTATGTTCCTAAAGCTTAAATAAAACATTCTTACTTACTTTCATATTTACTTACTTGATAATTTACTTACTAACTTTAAATCTAGTCAACCTTAGTTAGAGAACTTTGGATTAATTTTAGACTATGAAGGCCTAAATTATCATTCGTCGGAGAAAATTTATAAATGAAATAATGATCTTCATGAGATAATTTCTGGGTGTGGCATTAGGCTGGTTTCAATTCTTCATATGAGCGACTTCAAGCTTAATGTGCTGGTATATTTTAGGATGTTGATCTCTGAGACATCAAGAGAACGACTCTTCAGTTTGGGCTCAAAGATGCGTTTCTTAGTAGAAAGTTTGAACTAGAGTTGAACTGAGTATTTTCTAATTTGCCGCTTATGATGAAGAGATTGGAAAATATTTTTTTTTATGATATTTATGATTCTTAATTAGATTTGCAGCAAATCTTCAGTGCTGGTTAACCGTATTACAAACTTATGACGTAATCTTTGTTATTACTATGGAGTACAGTGAGGTACAGGAGATCGGGGTGATGGAATTCCGACATATCTTTCTTTGATCGTCCAGCGACCGAAAAACTTTTAGTTTCCACTGGGGACTTTTGATCGTCTTTCCCAGAATGAGACCCACAACAGTCGGTTAACACTCAGCTACCCACTTACTGCTAGGTGCACAGGGTCAGCAGGTGCAAGGAAACATGTCCATTATTTTCACTCTTGCCAGGATAGAAGTCGAATCCTTCAGTTGTGAGACGCTGACGTAACCTCTTAAGACTAGTGCCATAAACAAATGTACACAGACACCTCTAATTACTCAACAGTGTCAGATAAACTGCCCTTAATTCCTTCATGTCATATCAGTATTAAACTAATTGCATATATCGACAGGATGAGGACTTAGACACAAGTGCAACATCTGTGTAAATTATTTGTTCGTCAACAAGTGACTATCATTCTAAACAAAGCTCTTATGCACAGACAGTAGTTAAGGTAATCAGTCCCTCAAGCTGGAAATAGTTGTTTGGTATCTTAATCTTGATGAGTCATTAACACATGGTAGTGAACCCAAGTTTCCAGGCCGAGTGACTCGTTACCAAATCATCTACTATCATTGCGTATTAATGCAGGATTAAACTGATGAAACCACTAGTTTGCAAAACGTCTTCAAATTACTAATTCCTAGTGTAAGTCAAAGAAATTCCCAGGTTAAATTTGATGATCTCTATGCTCTGTGAGGAATGGTACGCTGTCAGGATTAATGCGAGGAAAGATAGGGATGTAAAGATTATCTCCTTAGAGATAGTCTTTGTATCCTACAGAATTTAATACAGGGATTATGAAAGGATACTCACTGCAGCACTCCATATAAGAATTGTTCGGTGAAACTAAGGCAAGTACACTGCACAGTCTCTCTGTGACTGACTCATTGAACTGGTCACACTTCTTGTTATGGACACTCACATCCACCAGATGAGCAAACGCCTGAGGAAGAACAAAAACTAAGGTCAATTTGGAAGATCAAATTTCAAAAAGTAGCAACCGGAAAACTTCAACAAAAACTAGGAAGAACCCTCATCAAGTTCTGAACTGGTTCTCATATTTTATATTTTTCTCTCACGACTTGATAATAGCTCAGAAAGGATCGAAATTGTGTGGATTAGATGTTTAGTACTAATATTTGCCTCATTTAAATACACTTATATATAAGTGAAGAGTGTTAAAGACTTCTACAAGGATAAGTCTTCGGAAAATAAAGTGCTAATGTTTATACCTTCCTGCAGCATATCCACAAACTAACCTTGTAAACACTAACTTATATTATTCTTACCAACTAATTCTGTGTGCATTAATTTCCGCTCTGTGCACTAACTTGTGTCATTTGTCTTCCATAGTCTAACAATAAACGTCAAAGGTTATGTTTCTGATCTGTAATTTTTAATCAATAATACAGAGCTCACCTCTCAAGAAATGGAATTTTTTTTATTGTCAGCGATAAAAAAAAATACATAATGCTCCTTAAGTTTTATTTCCAGAGTTCACAAGATTCCTAGAATATATACCACAGTTAAAAAGTTCAGACTGTTTGTACGTAGCGCCATCAGTTAACCATATTTGTAGTTGAAGGCGTCTCCTGGACCTTCTGGTATCAGAGTTAGACGTCTTTGCAGCATTATCCTTGCCTGGCATTCGTCTAGACTCTAGAGTGAGGCTGGGCTCTTCAATTTAAAGTTCTTACCTGACCAGGCAAGGATAATCCAATAGTGAATATGTTCCTTAATATTATGGGTTGTTTTATCTCAGACTTAAGATTATAATGTTTTATGGATACCAGTAATGATATTCTTAAATAACTCCACCCTTTTTCTAATTTCGATTTCAGCGACTTAATTAAGCGTTTCTTATTCTGTTATGTATTAACCTCTGTTTCTTTAGTAGCTCTAGCTACAGCATAGTCTACTGCTGAAATATTGAAGCAGACTAGAGATGAACCAGCTCTTTAGGAACCAATTGTCTCTCAAGGAGAGAAACACAACACTGTCGCATCCATTCTGCCATCTCTCAAATAGATTTTTGAGACAATTCCAACTATTTTTGAGTTTCGTGACGATAGAGATCCATCTTTCCCTGAACCTTCGTCTCACTGAAAGTTTTGGTACTAACTCCTGCTGAAAGCATGTATGAGGAGACTAAACTCAAGCTAAAAGTATAGCGGGTCTACACCATCGCCTTGTTTGTGTCTCCTTTAGTTTTAATTTGATTTAACAGCATCAAGATATCTTAAATCTGTACAAATCTATAGTGAAAGGAAGGGGGTGGGGTAGGGGTCGTCCTAGGAAAGGTTGGAGGGAGGGGGTATAGGAGGTATCGTGGGCGAGGAGCCTGGACTTCCAGTAAGCATGCGTGAGCGTGTTAGGAGTGAATGGAGACGGATGGTTTTTGGGACTTGACGAGCTGTTGGTGAGCAGGGTTATATTTTGTGAACGGATTCAGGGAAACCAGTTAGCCGGACTTGAGTCCTGTAAGTGGGAAGTACAATGTCTGCACTTAAAGGAGGTGTTTTTAGATATTGGCTTTTGGAGTGACATCTAAACTGTCGTATCTGAGCGCCTCTGGAAAGAAAGTGATTATATATGAATGATGGTGAAAATTTTGAACCATGATGAAAGTTTTTTCTTTCTTTATGGTTTTCTCTCTCTTTTTTGGGGTCACCTTGTCGCGGTGGGAAACGGCCGTCGTGTTAAAAAATATCATATATATGAATTCTTTTATTATTCTCTTTTCATAGTAATAATATTCAAAGCGGAACCATTTTCCTGATCTTCACCAGGACAAGATGTTGTAAACAGATGTATTAAATAGTGGTAAATATATCCCCGGGAAAAAAAAGGGGGTTTTGATGTTTGTTCTTACTTTTTTGTTAAGTCAGTACAGATAATCTTGTTAAAATTACCTCTGTTATGTTTGGTTCTGAGTAAGATTTATGGGTCTGCCCATTTTTTCTTATATTTATGGGATGATGATAATTATACTTGTTAAAAAGATATATTCAGGAAAAAGAGATCTTGTTAGTACGACACTTCACCAACATGAGGCTTAATCAAGTACAAATTATTCCCAAACTATTTATATATAATATATATATATATATTATATAATATATATATATATAATTATATATATATATATATATATATATTTAATATATATATATATATATATATATATATATATTATATATATCAAGCCGAATAGGTAAAACTGGTCAATTAGCAAAAACTCATTTAAAATTATGTCCTTATATTTTTCTGTTATACGTTTAAAAATATATATTTTTCATTTATGTTAATGTAAAAATTAATAATGTTGTACTAAAAGAACCTTAGAAAACTTACCTAACCTTATTATAACAAGCGCAATTTAATTTAGTCTAATCCAACTAAATATATTTTAGATAAACTTACAGTAATTTAATAATAATTCATTGGAATGTCATCCCTCGTTTTGAAAGTTTTTCTTATCCATCCTATCATTTTCCTGGCAAAGAACGTGCCACATACATCCTCGTAGTCACTGGTAGTAAGTCTTTCCACTGCGATAGGAAGCTCTACTTAATGCAGTAAATTAGTGTTAAAGATAATTACAAATCGGCGCATGTAGTTTTTTGTTGCCGTCGTCATACACATGGCAGGGTAACTCACACATAATCCTTCCAGCCTACACCACCACATACCACATCATACACACTGTACATTGCGTATGGTTGGGGAAATGTACCTGAATTGGTAAAGTATGTGTGGCTGTTATTCACCACCATATGAATTGTTTTAACGAGTAGCAAATCACTGTACACAAACTACACTTCTAGAGTCTAAACCACTGCTCACCCCATAAACCTTCACCTCATAATCACGACCCTCTACACCTTCCTTTCACTCATAAAGCAAAAAGTTACACTTAAGTGGAAATCAGTTGTCGTGATTCCCAGAATGCAAGTAGGATACGGGCAGGATGGCATGCAGGCATATCTGTGGAACATGTGGAAAGGTCCTTGGGAAAAGTTCTGGGATCACATGCAATCTATGTTTTTCAAAATGAGAACCATATCTCTTGTGCAAGTGTAAACTCTAATTCCATAAATGACATCCAACTAGCGACGTGTTTCTGGATCTGCAATAAGGCTATGGGATTTTGAACAGGATTCATGAAAGTCTTAAGGAAGATACTAAATAATAATCAGGAAAACAAAATGGACCCTCTTAAAAAGTCCACCCAAGATATATTGAACACTGAGCCGGGAAGAGAGAAACAGAATGTAACATACAAAACGCCCAAAATAATAAGTAACCAAAACATCACCTCTCTCCCTCCAGCTCTAATGCTGATCCAGTTTCCAGCCACTATTACAGATCTAATAGAACAACCATTACCCGAAATCACCAGAGGAAGAGTCTGCTTCTGGGGACATTGTTGGTCTATTTCTGGCAGGTATGGTTACTGAAGATAGTAATGAAAAACTGAGAATTCATCCCCTTCCCCAGCTTCTAGCCAGCTCAAATTTGATACTAATACATCTACGATTTTCCAAGTGTATACTGTCATGTATCTTTCTCGCCTGCATTCCACAGAATTCAGATCAAGGGGCTTCAACTGTTCATAGTAATTTAGGTGCTTCATCATGCTTGTGTGTGCAGTGAAGGTTCTGTGTATATTCGTCTGCCTTGAAAAGGGCATTAAGTGTATTGCAGTATTCCAACCTAGAGAGAACAAGCGATTTGAAGAGAATCGTCATGAGTTTGGCGTTCCTAGTTTTTTTAAGGTTATCATTATCCATCCTATCATTTTTCTAGCAGATGTGGTAGATACGTTGTTGCGGTCTTTGAAAGTGACATCCTCTGACATTGTCACTCCCAGGTCCTTTACATTAGTTTTTCGCTCAATTGTGTGTTTGGAATTTGTTTTATACTCCGATACAGTTTTAATTTCCTCAAGTTTTTCATATCGGAATAATCGAAATTTCTCTTCATTGAACTTCACATTGTGTTCTGCAGCCCATGTAAAGATTTGGTTTATGTCCGCTTGGAGTCTTGCAGTATCTTCAGTGGATGATGCTGTTACGCAGATTCAGGTATCATCCACAAAGGAAGACACAGTGTTGTGGCTTACATCTCTGTCTGTGTCAGATATGAGGATGAGGAACAGGATGAGAGCGAGTACTGTGCCTTGTGGAACAGCTTTTCACTGTAGCCACCTCAGACTTTACTCTGTTTACTATTACACTTTGTGTTCTATTTGTTAGAAAGCTATAGATCCATCTATCAACTTTTCCTGTTATTCCTTCAGCACTCATTTGGTGCTCTATTACACCTTGGCCACACTTGTCGAAGGCTTTCGCGAAGTCTGTGTATACTACATCTGCATTTTGCTTATCCTCTAGCACATCCAGGACCCTGTCATAGTAGTCCAGTAGTTGGGGTAGGCAGTAGCACACTGCTCTAAACCCATGTTGCCCTGGGTTGTGTAATTGATGGGTATCTAGGTGGGCGGCGATCTTGCTTCTTAGAGCCCTTTCAAAGATTTTTATGATATGGGATGTTAGTGCTCCGGTCAGTAGTTCTTAGCAATTGCTTTACTGCAACCTTTTTGGAGTGGGTCTATGTCTGTTGTTTCTGGTGACTGTAGGATGACCCCTGTGTACATGCACCCTCTCCATAGAATGTTAAGGGCACCTGACAGGGACTTCTTGCAGTTCTTGATAACAACGGAGTTCCACAAATCCGGCCTGGGGCAGAGTGCATGTGCATATCACTTATTTCCTTTTCGAAGTTTTGTGGTTTTAGAATAATACCAGATTATTGAATTGACCGAATTTTGAGTTTCGGCCGTAATAAATTCATTTACATTGTCGATCCTTAGTCTGGTTAACGGCTCGCTGAACACTGAATCATATTGGGACTTTAATATCTGACTCAATTCTTTGGTGTCAGCTGTGTAAGTCCCATCTCATTTAAGAAGAGTTCCAATACTGGATGTTGTTTTCGCCATAGATTTGGCATAAGAAAATAAGTATTTTGGGTTTCTTTCAATTTCATTTATGGCTTTAAGTACTTGGTGAGATTCCTGTCTCCTGTAAGATTCCTTAAGCTTGAGTTCGATATCAATCTTGAATATCAATCTCGAATAGATTCAAGATTGATGGACTGACCACATTGACTCAAGGTTGAGGGACTGATTACCTCATTCCCCTCCTGTTCCTCACGATTCTCCTTTGTATGGACTGATGAAGCCACTGTGTGGCGAAACGTTTCCTCAATAAAGATACCCATTTGCTGGTTTTATATGAATTTAGTGCAGAGATTTAACAGCTTTTGTGTGTGTTAATTTTCATCTGATATGCGTCCTAGGGTGATCTCTGCTAAAACATTATTTGCTACAGTCTTCCATTTTATGTGTCTCAATTTGAAATCGCCGAGTAGCAAGATGTTTGGGGCAGGAATTAGGAGATTTTTGAGACAGTGGTCAATTTTCAAAAACTGTTTCTGGAATTGCTGGGAGATTGCATCCGGAGGCTTGTATATAACCACAATGACAAAGTTTTGGTTTTCAATCTTTACTGCCAAAACTTCAACTACATCATTTGAGGTGTTTAGTAGTTCTGAGCAAATGAGAGACTGTGATATATAGGCCAACACCTTCCCCCCTTCCCCCCCACGGTTGTTGTCTGTTTAATCTGTCGCATCAGAATAGGTTATAACCTGGGATCCATATTTCGTTGTCAAGATGATCCTTTATGTGGGTCTCTGTGAAAGCCACAAACATTGCGTTTGACTCTGTGAGCAATCCGTTGATGAAAGGTATTTTGTTGTTTGTTGATGCCTTAGACCCTATATATTTGCAAAGATAAATGTCGTCATATTGATGGAATATATGGGGGCCTTTGTTTGCTGGCATTAATATCTGTTGTTCTGGAGTGGAGGCCAATTCCTGCCCCTCCGCTCTCGAAGTGTTTTCAGTTGGTGTAAGATTTCTGTCATTTCTTCCCAGTCTTTTTTCTTCCTGGCACTAAAGAAAAACCTCCGTTTCTGAAGTGATATTGTCTCCTCTCTTTTGTTTCCCATGATCTGGGTGATCTGTATATTCTTGTCCCCATTAGATGGAGTGCCTCAGAGTATATGTTGCAGCATTGTCTTTCATGGACGACAAGCAATTTCCTTTTTCGTAAAAACTGCTACGAATCCTATAATTCCCTTCTCTCAGTAGCCGCATCTCTCTCTCCCGTAGCTTCTTCCATCTCTACTTTCACTTATCTGACGGTACAGCTGCTACAAAGAAGATATGGTTCTTCACTCTTATTGACAGCTTATTAGGCACGTTCTCACACGAACAAGTCAGCTCACTACTGACATAAGACATTTTACCCCTGATACAGATGAACTCACATGCAATTCAAAGAGAAGTAACAATGTGATGGGTAAAATACTAACATTGGCCACAGGGAAGGCGGGGATAGTGGAGGTGATCCAGTAGAGGACATCACTGACAATAGTGAGAGTCTTCTGATTCGCCGCTCGCAGACCAAACACCACAACCGTCATCAGCTCACCTTTAGAAGAAGTAAACGTATTTCAGTAAATTTATACATGGTTTAAAACTGGCGTTTAGCAATACAAACTTTTACATGATAGTGTTTCACTTAAATGAAAGCTTTATTAAACATTTGTGAAAAGTTGGCAGAGTGAACGATAGAGAAGAATGCGAACTGGATCCATTGAGCTTCAACGTTTGTGAATGATACTGGGAGAAAATTGAACATATTAAAGAAAAGTGGTTGAAAATACCGGCAATAATGTTGACGAGAGCGAGAACAGCAAAGCCGGAGGCAGCAGTCTGGAAGGGAAAACTGAAGACATATGCCATGGGGATACTCCCCCAGCCGTACAGCAGCAGCAACACAAACAGCGCACCTGTGGAAGACAACACAAAAATTGCTCCCTGACACAAGCGATCTCTCTGATGATAATTTAAGAAGAAGCTTCAGCATTTTTATTGTTTTAAACTTACTGTCACACATTAGCAGTCAACCATAACCATGCTATTCGTGGAAATGAAAATGCATAATATGAAAATATTAGAACTATAATTGTTTGTGAATTTTTGATAATTGGTTAAAATATATTTGATATAGTTTTACTACCTACTGATGGGGTGCGCCTCTCTCTCTCTCTCTCTCTCTCTCTCTCTCTCTCTCTCTCTCTCTCTCCTCTCTCTCTCTCTCTCTCTCTCTCTCTCTCTCTCTCTTTATCTGGCTTCGCTGTGTTGATAATAACGTTGATCACTGGCCACATAAGCAAGTCTCTTCCACCCTTTTCTTAATTCACTTAACAATCTTACTCCTTCAATTAAGTTCAAAGTTGAATGGAAATCTATTTGATCCCTTTCCTGGATATACATACATGTCTATTGCTCAGCGATAGGCTTTTCTTTTTCCGTTTAACACAAGCCAAAGCACATTGACATGCGCATTCACAACTTTTCTTACCATGCTTCTTCTGCCAAGAAAAGCGTTCATATTTCACTCTTCTCTGTGCCCTACGCATGTGTTAGCCTCAGTTTCTCGACTCGAAAAATGTTCACCCTTCGCAATTCGTTCTCTTGCTTTGGCTACCTTTCCAGTTTCATAAACTCTATCTAATCACGTGCTGCACGGACTTTTTTCTCTCTCAAACTCTCAACTCCTGTGAAATTTCCTGTTCTTTGCCTTCCCTATGTTTCCAGTCACTCTAATCTTAATAATACCCTCCGTTCTTTAGACCTCAAACTTACTTTTCGCCAAACTAATACCCTTCGTAGTAATTTAGATTGTCTCACCTCCTGCCATTGATGCTTACGGAGTCTACACCATTTTCCGCTCCTCTTGTCCTCTTTAATACTTTGAAGAAATTGGCCACTCTCTGACTCACAAAAGAAGTGTTAGATTTCCAGACATTAATAATGCTCTTTCTGTCATGGTAGAGATCACAGTCATCGTATTAACTGGTCCTCTGCTAAAACTGTCTACCCTTCTTCAAGCCTTCATAGACACCGATTTATTGAAGAACCCATTATACACAGCATTTCTAGTATGAATCTTAGACCTGGCTTTGTCTCTCACGATGCTTTCCTTTCTCATTACATTGTCAAATGTTCCAAACTTGATAACACTCTTGACATGATTTTTAACTCTTCCTCTCCTTACCTCTTCTCCAGTCCGGTATTTTCATTGCCTTTCCGGTCTTCTGCATAGATACGTTCTGTCCTATTGGGTTTTATCCTGCTGGTTTTTGGTTCTAACCTCCTGGTCCATTAGCTCTAATGCAGTGCTCCTCTTTTTTTTCTTGTTCTTAGTCTACCTCCATTATTACTTCTACTACTAGTACTACTATTATCTATTTGCTAAATCTTCACCCTTCTTATTGCCACTACTACCACTGTTGCACTAGCTTTTTACTACTACTACTACTACTACTACTTCCACCACTTCTACTATGACCACTGCTAATACAACCACTTTCACACTGTTCCCTCCTCTCGTTATACTACTCCAGTCCCTGCCTGTGGAAAATCTAGTTTTCCATGATACTACAACGATGTTTTCATAGGGAAGAGTAGGGTGAGGTGAGGGAGGAGGGCTGGCATCACATGTAACGATGCCAGATTTCCGCTCCTTAATCGCAATTGCAAGGCGTAATTAGTTGTAACATATAAATAAGCTTGAACCTAGTCTAAGATTGTAGCTTACATAATTAAACCAGATTAGGAAAAAAAGTCAAGTAGCTTAGTATGATCAAATCCTTTCTCTACATGCCTGTAGACTTGGCATTATGAGGACCAGGTCACTGGAAGGCCAGCTCAGTGCGCCAGTAACTAAACAGGAGTGTATCAGTGACTCTAATTTGGAATTCGGGGATTCCATGAGGATGTTGTGACCAGGAATAGTCCCAACAGATTTCATAGGTAAGCTCTCATGTGTACCAGTGTTGAGGATTTGTACAAATCTGCAATTCTCGGGTAAATATGTTGTCTTATGTCTACTTGTGGATCTAACGACAGAGAGAAGCCTCTAGATTCCTTGTTCAGAATATGACCTACACTCTGAAAAGTTAACAACTCTGTCTTAAGAGGAAAATTTCAAGTTAGCTAGGTATGAGATGGCTAGAACTTATGGCGGATTTGATTGATTTACTGTTTAATTTTTCGTCAGTCATGACACTACGCCTCTATTCAAGACACCGCCCTCAACTGGAATATATGTTATCTCCCTTCCTTTCGAGCTTCCCTGTATGGCTACTTAATGTTTCTAATCGGACCAAAACATCGTCAAAAGTTTCAGTCTCCTATGTGCAGGTTACATATGTAAAGCTTCTACCATAAGACGTGAATTTAACACTGTGACTAATTTTCGTTTCTAAACCTAGATAAAATGTACACAAATAACCTGCACTCAGAAGAGAGGAGCTTATGACGACGTTTCGGTCCGGTATGGACCATTTATAAAGTCACACTTTGTAAATAGTCCAAGTAGGACCGAAACGTCTTGGTAAGCTCCTCTCTCCTATCTCCGGGTTATTTGTGTGTTGTTCCTGTCGCGGTATTGTCCTTTTTTATTATTTAGATAAAATATAGCTAAATTATTAGCCAAAACTACTGTATATTAACCAGAATTTTTTTAATATTCTATACTCGTTATTATAACTGCACTGCTAGTTCTTCACTCTCTCCTTGACATTCAGCATGAACTAACTCAAATGAAAGTTCTCTTCAGTATTAAAATAGTATAAAATACCGACAGGATTTTAGGTATGACATATTCAACAGTAAGGTATCTTTATTTCGAAACGTTACGCCAACACAGTAGGATTCTTCAGTCGAGTACAGAAAAGTTGGTAAAAGCAGAGATGTGTAGACGATATAATCAGCCCATCACTTTCTCCTATTCCTAGTTACTATAATAAGAACATTACCTGGAGCTATGTCACTGGTGAAGTAGCCATGGAAGTCCAGAGCCATGAAGCAGATGAAAATAAGCAGCATTGATGCCAGGTAGGTGGCGAAGTCCCAGAGAAATGTGGTCGTCCAGAGAGCCCATATTGGAGCTCCTGTCATTACCTGTACCTGCATATTTCAATAATTATTATTGTCAATAAAGTTGAAGGAGTAACGATGGGTTCTTCTCTACGTCCAACTTATATTAATGCCTTTATTTATTTTTTTTTTTTTTGAGAAAATAAGAGAAAACCTGACTGAATGCCAAAAGATCCCCGCCCTTCCTTCAGAGTGGAGGTATTTCACTTACCATATTCAAAACCTAAGTCTGGCTAACCGGTTTCCCAGAATCTCTTCAAAAATGTTACTGTGCCCAAACTCCAACAATACGACAACGTATATAAAAAACATTTGGTTTAGAAAGACACGTAAGTAAACACTATGACATATTTATTAGAAAACGTTTCGGTCCTGGGACCTTGATCACTTCTAACATACACAGGTAGAAAGACATTATATATATAGGCGGAGAGTGAGGTGTGACGCACGTGACCTGAGGAATGTCATAAGAACATAAGAATGGAGGAACACTGTCGAAGGCCTACTGGCCCATGCGAGGCAGGTCTTTATCATAACAACCTCTGCTTATGATGAGGACGGGTAGACGTTGAAATCATGTGACTCCTGTGTTGTTGGGTTGGTGGTGCTTAAGTATCATGTATGCCAATGTTTTTGAAATTTTGTAGTTTCCAGTGTTGCGTTCTATAGTGTCGGTGACGGCGATTAGTGAGGCTTCTAGGCATCGTCGGCGTCTGAAGTCTGGTTCGGTGAGAACGAGTTGTGCCTCATTCCAGTTCATCAAATGTCCCGTGGAGTCTCTGTGGAGGACACAGGCGTACCTTACATCGTCTCTGTTAGAGGCATTTCGATGCTCATTCAAGCGGACTGCAAGATCTCTGCCTGTCTCGCCTACATATTTCTTGGGACAGAACCCACAGGGGATAGTGTAGACGCCTGCTGTAGAAGTTAGAGGTGTGGGACTGCGTTTCGTAGTGAGGTCTTTGATAGATGATGTGTTTATGGTGGAAACGTTGGTGTTACTCATAGCAAGTGCCCGGAGAGTATTCGTGGCAACATCACCACATGGGAGTACTATGAACTGCTTAGGGGGCTGTTCCATGGGCGGTTTGTTGAGAATAGCTTGTGCCTTAAGTCTGCAATCTCGGATGAAGAAAAAATGGGAACTGAAGACGTGTAAAGGCTTGTGTTATGTAAGTGCATTATTCTTCTAGAAAACAAGGGCTGGAGATGCGAAGAGCTCTCAAGAAGAAGCCAATGAGGACTCCTCTCTTAGTGCGGGTGTCTTGGTGTGAATAAAAGTGTATAAGATCGTCCATGTTGGTAGGTTTTCTATACACTTTGAAGAGAAGTTTGTCACTGTCGGGAGATCTGCACAGTAGAACGTCGAGGAAAGGAAGTTTGCCATCATTTTCGAGTTCAAGTGTAAACTTTATTGATGGTTCAACTGCACTGATCTTGTTGAGAAGGGCCTGGATATTGAGACGTCTCGGATAGAAAACCAATACATCATCAACGTATCTTAGCCAGGTAACGGTGTTGGGAATGAGAGTGCTGAATTTCTCTGTCTCCAGGTTTTCCATGAAGAGGTTGGCAAGCACAGCACTGAGCTGGCTGCCCATTGCCATCCCAAAGCATTGTTTGTAACAGTTGTCCTGATACTTGAAGAAGTTGAAATTAACACAAAGTTCCACTAGATTGATGAAGTCTAGAAGAGGTAAAGGGAGGTCGTAGTTTTCAGTGAGCCTCTGTCTCAGAATGTTGATTGCAGCGTCAGTAGGAACGTTGGTGAAGAGGGCTGTGACATCGAAGGAAGCCATGCTTTTGTTTTTGACATTCAGGTTGGAAATTCGGGAGAGAAAGTCACCTGAGTGCTTGAGGTGGGCTTGACTGATGGTGCCCAGAAGCGCTGAAAGGTATTTGGCAAGGTGGCCGGCTAGTCTGTGTGGTGCACTCCCTATGCCCGAAGTGATAGGCCGTAGTGGGATGCCAGGTTTGTGTGTCTTAGGAAGGCCATACAGACGTGCTGGTTTTGGTTGACCTGGTAAAAGTTTAAGTAGTTTCTTGCCATGTTCTGATTTTCGTAAGATGCTACGAGCCTTTTGAAGAAAAGTCTGGGTACTTTGAAGTAGCACTGATTCTGATACAGGCTGGTATGTGTTGGCATCGTTGGCTACTTCAAAGTACCCAGACTTTTCTTCAAAAGGCTCGTAGCATCTTACGAAAATCAGAACAAGGCAAAAAGCTACTTAAACTTTTACCAGGTCAACCAAAACCAGCACGTCTGTATGGCCTTCCTAAGACACACAAACCTGGCATCCCACTACGGCCTATCACTTCGGGCATAGGGAGTGCACCACACAGACTAGCCGGCCACCTTGCCAAATACCTTTCAGCGCTTCTGGGCACCATCAGTCAAGCCCACCTCAAGCACTCAGGTGACCTTCTCTCCCGAATTTCCAACCTGAATGTCAAAATCAAAAGCATGGCTTCCTTCGATGTCACAGCCCTCTTCACCAACGTTCCTACTGACGCTGCAATCAACATTCTGAGACAGAGACTCACTGAAAACCACGACCTCCCTTTACCTCTTCTAGACTTCATCAATCTAGTGGAACTTTGTGTTAATTTCAACTTCTTCAAGTATCAGGACAACTGTTACAAACAGTGCTTTGGGATGGCAATGGGCAGCCAGCTCAGTGCAGTGCTTGCCAACCTCTTCATAGAAAACCTGGAGACAGAGAAATTCAGCACCCTCATTCCCAACACCGTTACCTAGCTAAGATACGTTGATGATGTATTGGTTTTCTATCCGAGACGTCTCAATATCCAGGCCCTTCTCAACAAGATCAATGCAGTTGAACCATCAATAAAGTTTACACTTGAACTCGAAAATGATGGCAAACTTCCCTTCCTCGACGTTCTACTGTGTAGATCTCCCGACAGTGACAAACTTCTCTTCAAAGTGTATAGAAAACCTACCAACAAGGACGATCTTATACACTTTTATTCACACCAAGACACCCGCACTAAGAGAGGAGTCCTCATTGGCTTCTTCTTGAGAGCTCTTCGCATCTCCAGCCCTTGTTTTCTAGAAGAAGAATGCACTTACATAACACAAGCCTTTACACGTCTTCAGTTCCCTTCTTTCTTCATCCGAGATTGCAGACTTAAGGCACAAGCTATTCTCAACAAACCGCCCATGGAACAGCCCCCTAAGCAGTTCATAGTACTCCCATGTGGTGATGTTGCCACGAATACTCGCCGGGCACTTGCTATGAGTAACATCAACGTTTCCACCATAAACACATCATCTATCAAAGACCTCACTACGAAACGCAGCCCCACACCTTTAACTTCTACAGCAGGCGTCTACACTATCCCCTGTGGGTTCTGTCCCAAGAAATATGTAGGCGAGACAGGCAGAGATCTTGCAGTCCGCTTGAATGAGCATCGAAATGCCTCTAACAGAGACGATGTAAGGTACGCCTGTGTCCTCCACAGAGACTCCACGGGACATTTGATGAACTGGAATGAGGCACAACTCGTTCTCACCGAACCAGACTTCAGACGCCGACGGTGCCTAGAAGCCTTACTAATCGCCGTCACCGACACTATAGAACGCAACACTGGAAACTACAAAATTTCAAAAACATTGGCATACATGATACTTAAGCACCACCAACCCAACAACACAGGAGTCACATGATTTCAACGTCTACCCGTCCTCATCATAGGCAAAGGTTGTTTTGATAAAGACCTGCCTCGCATGGGCCAGTAGGCCTTCGACAGTGTTCCTCCATTCTTATGTTCTTATGACATTCCTCAGGTCACGTGCGTCACATCTCACTCTCCGCCTATATATATAATGCCTTTCTACCTCTGTATGTTAGAAGTGATCAAGGTCCCAGGACCGAAACGTTTTCTAATAAATATGTCATAGTGTTTGCTTACGTGTCTTTCTAAACCAACTTGTCGGTATTTATTACCAAGGTTTATACCATAAAAAACATTTACCTCCACTCCTAGGTTCTCTACACATAAGTCGTTATGTATGATAATCTATGTAACTGTATTTGTTTATACCTGAATAAACTTAGTTACACAAGCATATTAAATGTCCATACCCCTGGCACTCAAAGCTTCCTTGGACTCCTCACTCCAACCATTCCTGGAATGACATATTTCTCCTTCCATTCTCCCCAAACTTATGGGCCCTCCAATTCATTCTATTTATCTGTCATAATCTCTGAATGTCCAGACGACTCCAAACCTCTAAATAATCATCATTTCGGTAACCCTATACATCCTGATTTCCAGATTGAAATCTCTGCATAATATTCACATCACACATTACCCTCAAACACGATATCTTCACTGTTCCAGCCTCCTCCTCACTACAGTATTTAAAACTCACACTCATTCAACAGTATTAGCACCAGTATAGATAATATTCTTTGACTCCACTTTTTTACCCGTCGCCAATTCTATGTACACTATTAATTTACTTATTTTATATATCCTCGCAGATTATGCAACTTTTATTCAGAATTTATTCAGAATTTCCGAAAATGACCGTATCACAGGCTAAAGATGACGCTGACAAATCTCTCTTTGTATTAAGTTCATTATCTAATTCCACTCCTCTTCCAAAAAAACCTAGCGTTTACTGCTTTTACAATTCCATCTATAAATATATTAAACAACCTTACTGACATGACACATTCCTGTTTAAACCCAATTTTCAATAGAAAATAAGCTCCCGCTCTCTTGAGCCTCGCTATCCTCACAAAAACTCTTTGCTGCATTATGTAAGCTACCAACTATTCCCCACATTTGCAACATCTGCCACACTGCTTCTCAATCCACCTTATCGAATGCGTTTTCTAAATTCATGAATAAAAAAACAGTACCTTACCTTTACTTCAACGTAAACATTAAGTCTACATATCCCCTACCTTACCTAAAACCTTAATGTTCTTCCTAATCCTACTATCTGTCTCAACCATAAATCTTTCATTAATAACTGCCATACACTTTACTCTGTATAC